AAATAAAAACCACAATGAGATGCCACTTCATACCTACTAGGATGGCTATTACCAAATGGATGACAATAAAAACGGCTGTCAAGGATATGGAGAAATTCCACCTCAAACATTGCTAGTGGAAATTTTCAAATGGGTGGTCATTTTGTAAAATGGTCTGAAATTTTCTCAAAAACTTAAACTTGGAGTTCCCATATGATACAGCAATTCCACAATGTATAGATCCAAGAGGCATAAAAAAATATGCCACAAAACTTTGCATGAATATTTTTGATACTGTTTTCAGAGCATATATTTAGAACATTTCTCCTTAGTATTCTTTATAATAACCTCCTTCCCAAAATAGAAACAAGCCACATCTCAATCAACTGGTGAATGGTTAAACAAGATGTGGTATATCCATACAATGGGTTATTATCCCTTTTTAAAAGGAATGAAGCACTGATTGATGCATGGTACAATATGAAGAAACTTTGAATAAACTCTAATCTGAATAAACTCACACTCAACAAAAGAAGCCAGATACAAAAATCAATATATATGATTCTATACATATATGAAATAGATTAGGCAAATAGGAATAGATTATGGTCACAGGGAACAGAGTAATGGGGAATGGAAAGTGACTGCCAACAGGTAGAGTTTCTTTCTCATTAAGGTAATAAAAATGTTCTGGAATTAGTGATGATGGTTGTACATTCTTGTGAATATTCTAACAACTATGAATTGTATACACTAGGAGGGTGGGTTCTGTGTGAATTTTATCTCAATAAAACTGCAAATTATTTTAGAAAAAAAGATACATATATGTTCTAGGTGTTTGACCTCATATTTGGATTTTTAAAAATTTTTTAGTTTTTTATGTGGAAACAACATCTTTATTTTTATGTGATGCTGAGGATCAAACCCAGTACCTCATGTGTGCTAGGCGAGCGCTCTGCCACTTGAGCCATAACCCCAGCCTTCATATTTGGATTTTTACAAAGTAGATAAATCCAGTGAATGTGATTACCTATTGCCAAAATTATTTTTAAATAAAGTTATTCAGGGTTTCTGCTCTGATTACCTTGATAATCAGAAAAGGCTGTATCAGATTTCCTCAGGAGTATCTCAGAGGAACAACAGAGATTCTGGTTCCCCACAGATGAAAGGAAGGAAGATTCTGCAGATTATTAATGACACTGATGCTGACCATGGTGTCCATACACCAGTGCTGCACACCAGTCACAGACTGTGACACATATGGCGACCTCCAGCATCCACGAACACTTCAGTTGAGAAGACATCCCTGGTAACTCATTTTCAGAAAGCATTTTAATTGTAGCTGGGAATGTAAACTCTGCTTCATATTTTTTCTTGGTACTGTTTTCAGAGTGCATATTTAGAATGGTTCTCCTTAGCCCTGAGAAAGACTGAAGTATATTCACAGGTGGAACTTCTGTAACCACAGAAGCTCTGACAATGAGTTCATGAGAGGGCTATATACATAAAGGTCACTAGAATGAACTTCTGCCTTGGAACTTCAGGTTCTAAATAGTTTACAGAGAGTTTCCATGTTCCAGAACTTTCCAAGGGCAGTTTTACTGTGGAAGCCTCTTCCTTTTAGACCAAAAGAAAGCTTAGAAAAAGTAAAACAATATTTTGTCTATTGTTTGAAGACAAAGGACAAAAATAAGATGTCCTATTATGCAATCTATATTTGTTTCTTTTATGCTTCTTTTTACTTTGCATCCAATGATTTCATTCATTCTGGATTCCTTTAAGAATTTTCCTTTTCCCCTATATTGATACCCCAAACAGAAGAGATCCGTTGAAGACAGATGGCTCACCTTATATTCCTGTCATTAGTGAATATTTATGAATATCTGATAGCTCTTAACCTGTCAAATGAGTGTTCTTCAGATCTAAATAAGGCTTTGTTTTACTTAGTTTCCTACAGCAGCACAACATTTCTGGGGCTGCTTCACTAGGAGGACTCTGTCAACAATCAGCATTTCATTGGCATTAACATGTAATAAAAGACAATGAAGCATGACTCAATTAAATCACAAAAGACTGTCTTCAGATAACATAAACCCAGTAGTTTTCAAAGCCTTAGGTGGAGATTCTGCTGTAAGGTCAGTGCTTTGAAAATATTCACCTAAGCATCTAACCCATCTACAGAGAAGATGATTTAAAGGAAAGAGCAAAACTGTTTCATCTCCTTCTTGCACACAAGAAACAGTTAGTTCTGTTTAAAAGAACAACTAAAAAAATTACATAGGGGGTGGTTCAGAAAAAGTATGTAAACTACCATATTATGAACTCACAGGATGACTGGTATCTAAGTATGCCAATCAACACATCCCATAGCCAGAAAATAGTCTTATAATAAATGGCTAAGTAAGGTTCAAGAGAAAGAAAATGGAACTCTTCTACCAATATGTAAACTTACACATTTAAGTCTCACTTAACAGGACTGGATGTGTTCCTTAATTCAAAACTGTTATTTTAAGCTATGGTTAGTATAAATTCTTTCAATGTTAAATTTTTTTGTAAGAAAACTATAAAAATTTGCCAACTAAATGGAATCAAATGAAAACAATCACTTAAAATAGACCCTTAAGATAAATTGAATACACAGAAACCATGATACCTTTAAAAACTGTAGAAATTAAAATGCATATTAAAATCACAGGTTAATTAAATTTTCATCAAAAATGATGACTATAGAGGAGCTTATAGGCTGGTCCAATATAGACCATTTTTATATTCAGAAGGCAGGAACATAAAACAAACAAACACCTAAAAACAAATTTGGAATTTCAAGTTATAAAAACAACTGATCAGGATAACTTGAAACTAGGAAGGATTTTTGTTTACTAATATTAAGCTGTTAATGTATAATCCTTTTAAAAATACCCAAAATTTCTGATTGTATTAGTTTCCCATGACTTCTCTATTGAATTACCATAAACCTGTGGCTTAACAACACAAATGTAACCTCTTAAATTCTGGAAACTCTGAGACAAGAATCTGTTTACTTTTCTTTTTCAGATTCTAGCAGCTTCTAGATTCCTCAAGCTTGGCCCATTTCTCCATCTTCAAACACCACCACCTCTTCTCTTTGCATCCGTAACCACATCACCAGCTCCTCTCTGTAGTCAAACCAATATCTGCCTCCCTTACTGAAAAAGATACTGTTAATTGCATTTTGGGGCCTACCCAGACAATCCAGGATAATTTCCCCATTCATTTGCCCAATAAGGTAATATTCACAAGTTCCAGGGATTAGAATGTGGTTATCTTCTGGGCCATTATTCAGTCCAGAAAATATATATTAAAATCTTTATCATTGGACTCACACGGTGAATGCCTTCTTGATCAGCTTTACTTAGAATATGTCATTATTTTCCATTGTAATGGAAGTGATAGCCTGGTAGGCAGGCCGGATGCCCACATCTTTTGACAGGGTCTGTTTCTGACAGTACTTATGTGACCTCTCAAGCCAAGCTAGAGACACTGGGCAGCATATTGAAGGTGTTGGATCCTTTCAAAGATAGGTAGAAATTAGCGAGATCCTCTCTCAAAAGTAAAAATTAAAAAACTTTAAAAAGGGCTGGAGATGTGGTTAAGCTCCTTTGGTACCAAAAAAAGAAAAAAAAAAGGTAGAAACTTTACTATTTTAGTCATACACACATATACACATGATTAGCATGTATATGTTTTGTTGTGTCTAAATGGATAAGTAATCTGGATTTCAAACCAAAACTTGCTTCTCAAAATTATTACTAGTAGGCCAGGACAATTCTTTTTTATTCTTCTTTTCTTTAAAAATCATTCATTATTTTTGGAAGGCGGTTCTGACAAAGTAGAAATAATGTGGACTTTGGAGTTACAGATCTAGGCTTACTAATTACTAATTAAATGTGATCTTAGGTAATAAAACGCTTAACATTTTGGATCCTTGGTTATTCACGTATAAAATGGTGATAGAAATATCTATTCCAGATGTTTGTTGTGAGCACATTAGTTTTGCCATAATAGCTGGAATATACGAGTTGCTCAGTAAGTATTAATTACCTGTGAACTTCTGCTATTTTAAAAAACTTGTTTATAAAATACGCACAGTGAAATAGGATCAATTTACCATTATTGTTCAGAATGGTCTATAGACTGAAATAAGATATAACCGATCAATAAAGTAACATGAAAATAGTCATGGTTTCATTAAAAGTTCAATAATGCCACACATTGTGTTAAATAAGAAATAGTTTAATAAGATGTAAGTTTAACAAGAGTCAGGCATTTGGTAAAATAAAGTGATCCTCTATTAAGTAAAAGGTTATTTACCTATGTTGTTAAGTTATCATTGAATTGGCAATCCCTGCAATTTCCTAAACCTCTTTGCTTTTATGTCATTCCAAAACATTTATATTAAAAATTACAGTAGACCCTCAATAAATGTGGCTTAGGTATCAGTACAATAACTTTAAGAATCCCTTTGATAGTGATGGGTGATAGAGGTATTTTTCTAGATCACAGAAGGTTAGTAAGAAAATCCACATACTGAGATGTAAAGTAAAACTTCCTTTCCCCTACAAAAATATTTGAAGTCATTCTCCTGAGAAAAGTCTAGTCTATACATCATTCTTAAGGAGGTAAAGAAGCTCATAGAGTAACTGTCCTTGCCAATGCAACACAGATCTCAAATATGCAGCAATTGGCCACTGAGGTACTCAGACGCAGTCTAGAGTTTCTCAGATCTCCATAGGATATGTCATTAAATCTTCTCCTCCTGCTGGGTCTGACTTCTGGGAAAAAAGCATATGGTATAAATATTACTATATTTGGTAGTGAATACTAATGATCACTCAGGAAGCTCGTCCTTCAGCTTCTATGGCCTTTAGCATCTAGTTGCTTTAAAATGTGACATGCTTTGATTTGATTTAATAATCCTTTTGAATTTATGATTCAGAATTTGCTGTATGAAATCTATCTGTAAGATCAGAGACACATGAACATGGAAAGACATACACATTTATTTTTGGAGTTATCCCATTAATGGATTTTAACATTAAGGCAAGAAGATCAAAACCTGTTCAAGGCACATTTTACAAAAGAGCTTACTCCTCTTAAATCAGTAGCATCTGAAAAAAGATTCAACCCAAACATACACACATACACATAGACACGTAAGTCACATAGGGTAACACTGCTTTACCTTTTCTTTCCCATGAGAATTGGAGGCTCACTGATACCACATGAAAAACCATTTATCAATTTCCACATGGGGAATATTCTAATCATTGAATGAAATGGCAGAATGAAGTGTTTTGAAATGTGCAGACATTATTTTAAGATCTACATAAAAACGATCAATAGCACATTCTGTGTTACAATAAATTTGAAAATTGAATTTCATAAGATTATAATACACAGGATACATTAAAAGAATTCCAAGGACCAAATTAAGAGAAATTTGGTTAAAAATACAATTTTACTCCACATCAAAAGCTTTCTAAAGTTTTATTCAAGCTAATTATACTGGCTCCCTCATATAAGAAATGGTATTGTGTTACACAGTATGACAGCACTACCAGCTCAGATAGCATAAATCACTTGCTAATTTGGCTAATAACATTAACAGTGTACAAACTTTATTCATTGGAACCAATAAAAAAATCCTCAGAAGTTGGATATATTTAGTCAAATGTCACTGTAAACACAATATATATTCCATAATACATGCCATTATTTTCTATTGTGTCCATAATGAAAAACTCCATAATGAAAAATAAAAATATAAAATATATATTTTGTATCAAAATTCTTTGTCAAAAACTACAGTTCCCATCAGAAGTTAATATCACTGGGGAGTTAAACGATTAATACAAATACAAATACATATTACAAATATTCTTTTGTTCTTCACTTACCATGATGCAAACTGCAAGGATTTAACCTTTAAGGGTTAAAGAGTTTAATCAATGTCAATGTCTGATCTTCTGAAGGCGATAAAGAACAGTCTGTCTAGCGATACCCAACAGAACATCACTTTGTCAAGCCACAAAGCGCCCAAAAGCTTGTCAAGTAAGTTACCAGAAACCTCTTTGTGGTTAGAACTCAGCTCCTTCCTGCTTGACCTATTATTTGATATTTGACCACTTGGTTGCAAGACACTTGCTCTTTCTAGCTGAAATGTCACTGGGGCATCTTGTCAGCTCCCCGACATCTCGGCCTGACATACAATTTTACTTTTGTGTGCTACAAGGCAGAAAATGCAGGGCAATGGCCTTGTTTTAAATTCTGTCAGCATCAAAGATGGGCGTCACTCTTGGGTCCTACCAACAACAAAAACAAAAAAGGAGTCTATTTTGAAGGTCAAAACAGCCATTACCTTGAAGTTTTTTAGCTTATACTAAATATATTACCTGCTATACTGATGTGGGAACTGTCCTTATAAAGTGCCTAAACACACCACAGAAATCCTCTCAGTACAATTGCTCTACTTTCTTATCAAATGCAGACTTGATAAAAGGATGAGTTTTCAATGCCTGCAGGGACCAGATTCAGCAGTTAACTTAACTTGTTCAAATGGGCAAGTGGTATCATGTAGCTTTACAAGGAGCAACCTGACCTTCTCACATTGACCAGGAGTGACATTATTGTGCAGGAGGAGAAGCAGTCACATCATTTCTGTTTTGCACAACCTGCTTAAAGTTTGCAACTAAATGCTTGTCTTCAGTTGAGCTGACAAGAGAGAAGAGGGGCTCAGTGAACCATGGCAGGGCTGCCATGAAATGACAGGAATCATTGGCATACATTTCAAATAGCTCTCTCAATCCTATTAAAGTATTGCAGTCCTGCTTTAAAATAGACAAGTATGAAACAACTTTGATAGATAGAGACTAAAATGGCTTATTGATTTTTTAAGTCCGAGGGAAATTACCCAAAATGTGTCATTCTTTAACATTTAAAAATATGTTACATAAAAATGAGGATCTGTGATAATAAAATAAAACTTAAGTGAGAAAAAAGTGGGTTATTTTGTTATTCAAGGAGACAGATACCTGCACACATCAAGATATCACACAGTTTTTTAAAAACCCACCCCAACTTGTGCTGAAACAAAATTCCACTGTAAGAAAATTCCCCTTCAAAACAATTTAATTGTACTGTTAATTCTTCCTCCATTTTTTTTATTTTATAAAGTCATAATCCAATCTGAGGTGATCTTTTGGCATTAGCAGACATAGCCACTGGAGAGGAATGAGATGATAGAGGATGAGGCAGAGTATTTGAAAATGCATCCTTTAAGAAAGTATAAGTTGTATCAAGTTCAGCTTGCAATGGCAAAATATCCCTAACATCAACTGTGTCAGTAGGAAGAGCAGCTCTTGAAGGAATGGAAATATTCGAATGGTCTCGTGATCCCATCTGTAACATACAAAAGAAAAACATAATAAGCATCGAGTTGAAAACTCTCCAAGTCTAAAACCATAAATAAGAAAGTAGACTAATAATCATTATAATACTAAATGGGATGGAAATTAGCATTTTAAAAATCTGGATGACAATTTGTAAATATAAATTATTTTCCAAGAGGGACTGAATCCATATATCCTACATCATAAACTTTTAAAGACAATAGAAGAAACACCAAAACTTTGTATGAAACTTTTTATAAAGTTATTGTCAATATAGTCAAGCATTTTCTCCTTAGTAACAATTCATTGTCAATTTACAAAAGTCAATGCCAATAGTGTTTATTTCATTATGCTTATAATAGTATGTAATATATAAGATTAGACTGCTAAGAAAATGAACGATGGGTATTTGCTTTTAAAATCTATCATCTTAAGTGACAAATATAGCACAAAGAAAACTTCCAGAACATACTGAGATATAAAATTCTAGTGAGAATAACTTTCTACCTTTACCTTTAGCAATAATGCCACCACCACTCTATTTTGTTTTTAATATTTTTAGTTGTAGATGGACACAATACCTTTGTTTATTTAGTCGTTTTTTGTTTTGTTTTTTATGTGATGCTGGGGATTGAACCCAGTGCCTCATGTATGCTAGGCAAGCATTCTACCACTGAGCCACAACCTCAGCCCCACCACTCTGTTTTGATAAAGATTATTCTACTGTAAGTATTTGAAAATCATATCAAAATAAGTGATTGCAATATGAAAACAATTCACAATATGTTTTTTAATATTGCCATATCAGAATCTAACTTAAGAAATGCCATATATTCATGAAGTATTTGAAAACAAAATTAACATTTTAATAAAGCTATACATTTAAGCCTTAAGTTAGTAATTAGTAGATCATATTTAATGTGAATGAAGTCTTAGTAATGAAGCAGGTATTGTTTTATGACATTTAACATAGTAGAAAATTAGCAATCAATTTTATGTCAGAATTTTCCAGATTCCCAGCAAATAAATATATGTTGCCGAGATAACAAGTCTAGTCATAAGTATTTCTGCTAAAATTCATATTCTATATTATAGAGCTTTTAAAGTCACCTTTTTGGTAGAAACTCTTAAAAGAGTTTTGACAATAAAATAATGAAAAATATAAAGGGCTTCTTTACTATGTCATGTTATACAAAACTGTTTCTACATGTAGTAACAAGAAAGCAGCTATTTCTGGCTTTAGAAAAGTATTAGAAATTCAACTGTTGTATGTGTTACCATTTTTGTAGATTTTTTTAAAACTACAACTGGAGAAAAATCAATGTCTGCATCTAACACCTAGTTCAGCAATTTTCTTTGATCTCTGTTCTTTTGATTTCTTGATACTCCATTGCAAGCCTATCGCTGGCGGAAATCATCTCTTTTTATGCTGGAAGTTAAAAAACACCTAAAATGGCCACTTGGATAGCTGTATGAAGGACAGGGTTTATCTTATCTCATGGAAAGCAAAGAAATTTCCAAAATTATGTACTGGCCCTGATTAGCAGCACTGATGAGGTTTTACTCATAGAGCCTCAGTACTAGGCTGGAGCATGTCTGCTCAGAACAGAGGCATCCCCTTACCTCAGAGGCTGGCCATGCAGGGTCCTGTACTCTTTCTGACTTAACCACCATATTTTTCCAGGTGTTTGTCTGAACTGGAAGCATTACCTGATGGGTCTTGCTGCAATGAAAACCATAATGCCACCTAACTTCTCATTCTGCCAGACCTGAGAATAAGGAGAATGCTGGAAAAGCATGAGACGGTGGGCTTACTGTTCTTTTTAGTAAAATTCAGTTATGGCAATTTATTGTGATTAAAGAATATGATCAGGCAAGGTCTCAAAAGTTTGTTTTAACATTGCTTTTTGTATACTGTAAAATTAAAACTTTATATATTTATGGGAATATAAGGTGATATAATTTTTAATACAATGTGGAATGATTAAACAAGCTAAGTAACCTATCCATCATCTCAAATATTTGACTTTGTGATTAGAACATTTGAGATTTACTCTATTAGCAATTTAAAAATATACAGTAGTCAATTGGTAGCTACATTCACCACACTGAAAAATAGACGTTTTAAAAAGACAAATACTCCTCCAATCTGATTGAGGCTTTGTATCCTTCAATTTTCATCTCTCCAGTCCCTCAACTCCCAAGCTTCTGGTAAACACAATTCTACTTTCTGCTTTTAAGAGCTCAATTGTTTTAGATCCCACATCAAATGAAACCATATGGTATTTGTCCTTGTGTTTTCACTTAGCATAATTGTCCCCAGTGACAGAATTTCTTCCTTTTTAAAGGATGAATAGTATTCTAGTTGTGCATATATTCCACATTTTCTTTGCCTATACTGAGGTTAACTCCATAACTTGGCCACTGTGAACAGTGCTACAGTGTACATGGGCAGGCAGACAGCTTTACAACACTGATTTTAAAACTTTGGGGTAAATGCCCAGAAGTGGGACTGTTAGGTAATTCTATTTTTCATTTTTTGAGGGTTGTTTTTACATCTTTATACTTTAAGTTTTGGTCTATGAAAACAATGTGTGAAAAGAGATGGGTTTATAGAATCAGATCTAGGAAGATCAGGTATCTTTCAATGACATTTTCTTCTTGATGTTGTAAACTAGAGAAAGGTAACTGTGCCAAACTGACCAGTAACTCCGGTTTTAAAACTATCAGTGATATACATAATTTCCTCAAACCTATATACCATGCTTTAAGTTTCTCTTTTTTTGTTCTTATGAGTCCTTCAACCTAACATATTACAGAATTAGGAAGGTGGTCCTTCAGGGAAGGTGTCTCTATAAACTACTCATTTCTCTCTAATAATTAGTCTACAGATCTTGGCAATTCTACAAAAAGAATGTCTTTTTTCAGTCTACTTTTCAACATTCCTATTTTTGACTATGTGTGAAACTGGCCTTTTATTTAATACAACTTTTTAAAAAATATTTTTTGGTTGTTGATAGACCTTTATTTTATTCATTTATATGTGGTGCTGAGCATTGAACCCAGTGCCTCACACATGCTAGGCAGGTGCTCTATCACTGAGCCACAATCCCAGCCCCAATACAACTTTTTTTTAACTAAATAACCTTGAAATGGGGTGTTGAGTATTTCTCTAGTATTTCAATCCAGTCTTAGTTTTTATACATTATCTTCTGGCCTTGTGTCCTAAATATGGAAAACAACTTTAAACCCTTAAAGGGGAAAGGGTGGGGGAGAAACAGACAGACACGGACAAACACACACACACACACACAGATTGGTTTCCCTACAGACTTTTAACTCCAAAAGGTATCATCTCCCACAAGCAAACATGCTTATTTTTGTATAAATGGAAATAAATGATACTACTAAGATCATCTGCTGTACTGCTAGTAAAGAATTTTTTCAAGATAAGATAAAATCTGATTTTAAGTCATTTAGCTTAAAAAGAACCCACCAAAAATTCTGGTGAGATTTTGAATTGAGAATGTAATGTTAAAATAATAAATGTTAATTATTTTTCTTGTACAAATTATATGCAGAAATATATCATAATATTTTTAAAATATAACATAGGGAGTAAAAGACAGTTAAATAACTACTTGGCAGAGACCATTAAAAGTTAATATTCACCACCTGATCTTACATTTTAAACCTGTGAAGTCCATGGTCATTTAAACGGCTTTTGAAACTGCTAGGGTGTTCTGGTAGTCTTTTATGTAAATCTTAATTTAGATGATCTTTCAGAAAGAAATTAGTTACCTGAAATAAAAGCTAGGTGTCATGTGAATCTTTATGGAAGCACTTTTATTTACTCAATAAGCTGTAAATGATTCTATTTGAACTGTTATAGTCCATCAGCTAAATACATATTCACAATACAAAATGTGTCTACTAAATTTCTCCCTTTAAAAAATCTTATGGAATACAGAAATTGGACACAGCCAATAGCCATTTTTCAAGGCTTTAATATCCTGTTTTCTAAGACTGTTATCCAAACAACAAAAATAAAGCATTAGTCTAATAATAAAATTATCACTCAACAAATTATCTATAAATCAACGCCACTTTGCCAACTGAGACTTCTGAAACAATGACACTAAGCCATTTGTCTCCTGCGTAACATTTATGATCAAGTTAAGTCTTCCAGAATTCCATATTATAGAATTGTGAGGGAAGGCACAATTTAGAAAGCTTGGGCAGTACTGCATAGCAATTATGCTAAGCACATTGTGTGGTGAAGAGAATTCTAGACTGAAGTGTTGCAGACTGCAGTTCCTTCTCCCAGTTCTACTACAATCTAAGTGGGACATTGTGAGGAGGTGAATTAGTCCACCCATGTCTCCCTTCCTTTGCCTGAACTTTTTCCAGTTCTGAAATTATACAGGTCTACTCTAATAGCATGACCCAATGTCACTGTGAGTGATATTGACCTAGAAATCAGAGTTTCCTAAATATCATATTTAAAATTTTAAGAAGCTATACATAGGCCATTCTTAAGAAGAAATACATATTGCACATGGTTCTTTAAAATACCCAAAGAGATAAGATTAGCCATAGTTTAAATGATCTGGCTTCATTCAATTACATTCTTTAATGCACTTTTCATTATTTAGACCTCCATATTCATATAAGTACTACTACTGACTGGTTTTAAGTCAAGGGAGACAGCTCCACATAAACTGAAAAAGAATAAAAGCACCCACAAGAGGGCGTTACAATGAGGCTGTCTCGCTATGTCTATGTTAGTTCCAGCATGTTCTTTCCACTAGAGTCTTGATACTAAGCAACACAGTTTTCTTCCTTCCAAATGCTGTACTGAGCTGGCTAACCAAATTTCACCTGTCCATTTTTCAGTTCTGCCATGCTGGACATTGCTGTTTACACAGACAATCAGAATTGGAAATATTCACATATATAATTTCCCATTAAATATTTCTTACAGTTACCATTTCTAATGTTTAGTTACCA